TGGGATGCGGCGGCGGCGAGCTGCCCACACCGCGGCCCGGGCCGCCAACAGGTAGCGGACGGCGTGTCCGGCGCATTTTGATCCGCCACGCTGCGGGGGTGAAGCGGTGGGCACTCGGCGTGGGCCGCCGAGCTCCGCGCTCGGTGAAAGTTGCGGAGGGAGGGGGGGAGTGAGGGGGCTGGAGGAGCTGAGACACCACTTACATTGTTTGACGATCGATGGCGTCAGTAAGTCAATTAGGGTCAGGGTCCGCTTGAAAGCCACCCTCGAGTCTGCCTGTCTGCGGTGGCCGCTTCATTCAGCTTTCAGAACTTGTGGCCGTACCCAATGATTATTGACTGCACAGTCAAAACACGGTTCGCTGCACGACTGCATGCCCCTATCGTCACATTTAACGTGGTGTCACGCAGTCAGACCTCACCCGTGCTAGTATTGACATCACTGTCAATGTTTTGGTGCCGTTGGCGCTGTTACTATCGGTGCCTGTAAGCACTGCTGTCAGCGTTATTGAAGAAACTATTTGTGTTGCCATGTGTCGGCGTAAGTGGCGTCCGTGTTGGTGTTGTCGGTTTGATGCAGATCTCATGTCGACATTGATGTCGGTGTTGGCGGGTGCCTTGATTTCGCGGGTCACGGTGTTAAAGTTGGGATCAGTGTTGGCATCGGAGATACCAATGGCATCACTTTAACAAAGGCACCATTGACATCGTGGACCGCGTTGTAGGCAGTATTGGACAAGGCATCATCGCCGCATATAACCTAGCCTTCACATCCGCCCCAGCCGCCGAGGCATGATCTCACCACCCATCATTCCGGCCGCTACGGGCGCAGACGGCTTCAAAGAGCCTCTCCGCCTGCACCATGCCAGCCGGCCGTTTCTCGTCGGGGTCACGTCGCCTCCGCACGCGCGCCCGGCTAACTCGGCCCAACTGGCCGTCTGCCGCACCCTGCAGCAGCGCAGCTCAGTGTCTGAGGCGCGGCCGCCACGCTGACCTTCCCGCCGTCAGCGGTGCGGTGGGAGGGGTCGGCGCGGGGCGAGGCCGTACCAGCCGGCGGCGTCCCCTTCGGTCGAGTCGGGTCGGACCAGCCGCCGCCGCCGCCGCCGGCCCTCATCGGCCAGGTCAATTACATGCCGTAAATCTGGCGGCGTCGGCATCAGGCGATTAGCCGCCCCGGCCGAATCGGCTTCGGCGCGGGTCGATAGCCGAGCACGAGTGGCGCGGGGCGCTCTTTCAAACAGGTGGGAAACGTATTCAGAAAGGCCCGATGGCTCCACGGTCCAGAAACCTTGAAAGATTCGTGATTCGTTGATTCATGTAGATGACGCCGGTATGCCACACAATTCTGTTAGCGCACTTCACAGGATAAATGTTTTCCATTCTTGAAATAGCCAGCTTGAAATAGTCTTGAAAAAAACGTCTTGAAATAGCCGGCTTTAGGGCGCTAATGACCGAACTCAAACGAATTTGTTCTTATCGCTCAGTTCCGCCACCCACGTCTTTCTCCAAGTGTGAGAAGCAATTTCAAGTTTGAACGTACGCCGAGCCTGGCCTCACCAAAGGCTCTGCCATTCTTGGCCAAGGCCACCGCCGAATCACCAGTAGTAAAGTTTTACCCTAGGTAAAAATGCAACCGCCTCTGAGGGAGCTTGACTAACGCATGCATTTATCCCAACCCCTTTTCTTCCGCAGTCCACTGTAAGACAGACCGCTAAGTAGCAACGGCACTGTAGGTACACTGTCAGTACTTAAATACACCGTTGGTACTGTCACCCGGACACCTCACTTGCGCACACTAGCCGTACCGTTAACCGTGTACCGCGTACAGCACACACGCAAAGACACCGTTCTCGGAACCTGCCCCAATAGATTGTGAGTGACCATCTCAACATTGGTTATTAGCACTGAGAGGTGAAACGATGGGCAGATGGACTGATGGGGCAGGAAACTCCACAAACAATGCATACCGATGAGCTCCCGTGGAAATCCATCGCGGCTGGCACATCAGATTGGCTTCGGCTGTTTACGGACAGAACGCATCGGTTCGACACTGCGTGTCAACGCTATTTCATGAAAATACATACTTGCCTGCGAAACGGCGGCAGGCCGAAATGAGTCCGAGCCTCAGCGGCCGGCAGACACGTTCCGATTGGTGACAGAAAACTTTACTGGTCATTAGAGGCACAATAAACGAACACCGCTCTGTTTTCTGAACGCTTTATTTAGAATTTGGATGGGCGAGTGAAGGGGACCGCGCCACTAGCCATTGCCAAGGGCGGCGCTAGCGTGACCGCTGCGGGGGTCATTGCGTGCTTGCTGACAGGTTCTGTTTCCTGCTGAAAACATCGAAACGTCAGCGGAGTTATTTCGTAAGCTGCGCGTGGCGGCCGACCGCCAATCAAGAAAGTGGCACTTTTTGGTGGCGTGATGCTAGCGGCTACCCATTGGTCCTGTGTACTGCGCAAGCGCTGCGATTGGTCCTGCGCAGCACACTGCGGGTGAGTTCGTCGTGTGTCTGGCTCGGAGCGTTCGATCGCGGCATGGACTCGCGCGCCGAGATGGCGTGCTCGCAGATATAGATGCGATCGGGCCGAACGTGCCGATAACGATATCGACTAGGCCAGTCGCGTGGGCGCTTCTTACTCATGCCCACGGTTATCGCACGCTGACAATGCCACGGGAGCAGGAGCGGCGCCGCCGGGGGAGGAAAGAGGGTGAGGACGAGACACAGCTAGGCCAGCAATGTCGAAATTTGACTTTACGCCATGACATCGCGCTGCACGACCAAACAAAACATGGCCTAAGGTGCACGCGGCCTTCTTATCAGGCGTCATGAGGAAGTGACGATGCTCTTGCATGGGAGGACATGTTTTGGACTGATTCATCACGAAACACTTCATAGCTTGACATAGATTGCCAGCAGCGTTTGGCTGCCAACAGACCAATGGGCTGCAACACAGGCCCAACCTTCTGACACTGCTTAACGGCTTCAAACTTCGGGCGCTGTTCTGCTGTGCAGGCTGCAGCGCGCCCCAACTTCCAACCGTCCTGCCGTCTCCCAGGCGCTCGTCAGTTTGCCCCTGATACGCTTTGAGTGAGCTAAACGTGTCGTGAATTAACCCGCGTTCTAATCAAACGAGACACCGCAGTCCTTGCGCCAGATGCCTGTTACTCGCAGGGCCCAAGTCTGCATGCTCGCGGGGCAAGGAGCGGGCCGAGGCCGAGCCGTGCGCAGCGGGCGGCGCACCGGCCAGGCCGGCCGTCTGGGGGGTGGACCGCGTGCACTTCTCATCTCTTAATCGCCGCCTTTGTATTCCACTGATCGCGGCCTGGCGTGCGGCGCGAGGCGTTACCATACTCATTACCATAGCTGCTACACGCGTCTGCAAATAATCTCGCGACGATGAGCATGATTTACGGGCCCGGCTCGCCCTTCTCCTCCCGGCGCCCACCGATCAGCCAGCGCCGCAGCGCCAGGACGCGGGTACAGCCGACCAGCCACGCATATCTGTCAGGCTGCAGGCTGCAGGCTGCAGGCGGCAGGCGGCTGCCAGCCACTGTGTCGCCAGCAGGACGGCGTGGGCGGCCGCCGAGTCCGGGCCCAGTGCCAGCGGGGCCGGCCAGGCCGCTCCGCCGGACTGGCGGCGAGTCTGTGTTCGCAGGCCGGCGGCCAGTGGGGGTCAACACCCCACAGACGAGCGTCCAGCGCTCGCACTTTCGCCGCGGTGAAATGCGTATCGAGTGAATGATAATGGGCGCGCGACGCCTTAAGGAAACATCCAATGCACGAATCTCTCTCTCCCGCTCCGTCTCGTTCACTCTCGCTCGCCGGCTCCCATCAGTCAGCCACCCGTTCCGACCCCCGCCGGGCCCTCCACGACCGGCGTGTCACGTGCGCACTGTGCACACATCCGTGGCTGTGCACTGATACGGCCCATGCACGTCACGTCGCCTCGAGCGCCGCTCTGGCGTTCCGGCTGCGGCCGCCCGGCGCCACATGTAAGCCGGGTTCGGTTACGGCCAGCGTCCGCTGCCCGGCGGGTGACGGAGCGTCACCACAGTGACGGGCCGGCGGTCTGGCGCGATCGGGCCGCGGAGGCTGCACATACCGGAGGTGACCCGGGCTCGCCCGGCCCAACAACCCCGCCGGCTGCAGCTGCAGAGTCACTGCACCAACGCCTTGTCGCTACACAGCCACCGGCGCCACCCGGGGCAGTGTAAATACGCCGCCCGGCCGGAAGGCGTGAGCGAGGGGGCGGGTGGTCCTCCGCTCCCCGGCGCGTGATCTCATCGCGCCCCGCGGCCGCACGAGGCCGCTCGCCCACGTCTGCGCCTCAGCCCGCGGCCACAATTGAGCTGACCACGGCAAGTGGCCGCGCGTGAGGCGCCGCGCTTGCGGCATGGGGACCGGAGGAGACGCGTCCGGTCCCGCCGGCGGAGGGACCGCCACCGGAGTCCGCGCCCATCGCGCCCCGAGCCGGCCGCAGCCGGTTATTGTTTCCCGGTGCGGGCAACAATAAACAGCCGGGCAGCCGGGTCAGCCCGCATTGCGGTGATTAATTCACCGCGCCGGCGGCCGCAGGGCCGGCGTTTCCTACGCGCCGCTCTGCATTAATGAACTCCACGGCGTGCACTCGAATAGCCTGACGGGAAGCCGGCAACCGCAGCGTCCATGCCCGTCAGCTCATCTCGCGCTAACGCACCCCGCTGTGGGCAGCCGGCGAGCTTCAAGCGGACCCACAAACCGTCAATTCACGAACCTGACGCCGCGACACGACTGCATCACCACCGCTTCCGGCCTGTCGTGACGGGCACGTACGTCACCGCTGCGACCGGCTCGCGCCAACGTCCGGCACGTGCAATTGACGTGGGCACTACTTGGCAGCGTTTGGTGCCACAGATTTACCTCGCGGGACGGTCTGTGAGGCCGGCGGCCGCCTGGCGGGCTCCGCCGCTGGCGGGAACCCGCGCCGCCCGACGCGCCAGTGAGAGCGAGGCGGTGCCGGTAGCCGGGGGCGGCGCGGGCGGCGTCTGACCTCTGACCTGGCCGCCATGTCCGTGTCGCCGGGCGGTCTGCAGGCGGACGCGATCGCCGAGGAACCGGAGGAGTGCTACACGGACGAGGCCGAGGAGGGATACTTGGGCCTCGGCGAGGGGCTGTACGAGGGACTCGGCGAGGACGGGGTGTGCGAGGTGGAGGAGGGGGACGAGGCGGCGGCCGAGGAGGTAGTGAGGAGTCCAGGCACGTCGAAGATCCCCGTTTGGGTGCGCCCTAAAGGTACGTGGCGGGCAACGTATTGGTGAATCCTTTGAAATAAGAAATCTCACCGCAAGCGGTTGGGGCCTTGAGGCCATAGGGCCCAACAGGTGCATATTTTGGCACTAGGTCTAAGACAGGAACCTTGTAACTTATATCTTGTAAGGAACTTGTAACTTGGAAGGTCCTATTTTACCGTTGGATTACCACGAACTTTTTTACGAAGCGTTTTCCTTATTACTAAATATTCCGCCAAAACGCAGATGTAGCCGACAAGGCTTTCGCCACGAAATTGATCGTGATGATCGAAACAATATTGGAAAACATCCGTTTTGCTACCCGTGATGACCGGCCATGGCCCCAGCTAACTAAACACAGAGCTGTGCTGAGCTGCGCCATTTCGCCATTTTCCACGGAACACGGCGCAGCGGTCTTGGCAAACACAACTGACACGCGCTTGCGGTATCCAGATGTTTGCAATCCAGCCATCCAGCACATAGCTTAAATCTCATGCGACTTAAAGCGGACGGGACGGCAGCGGGAACGTTCCAGTCGGCTTATTTTTGGATGAATACCGATCGCTTCACATCCATGACCTGGACGCTGATGTAAGCTGCGGCCCCGTGACATCAAACACGGCGCCACGTTCGCTCGCCAACTTCGCAGCGGGCCCACTACTTCCAGTTGACGCCCTCCAACAACGCGTAGCTGAACCGCATTAGCCATGGCGCGCGGGATCGTTACAACTTTTCACTCTGCGAGACCGCGAGCTCTACAGTCGCGGTCGATGCGACCGCGGTCAGCTGTTCGACAGACTGCTGGTCAGCGTAGGGGTGAAGGAGTCTGCCTCAGGTCCAGCGGCGATGGAATCATGTAGGGGTGGAGGAGTCTGCTTCAGGTCCAGCGACGATGAAACCAGCTGGACCTTTCATCGTGGCTGTTTCTGATTTTATACCACAACTTCACAATTTTTCGATTTCTCTATACAGTTGCCCTGGCTAGTGCCACTGCGGACAAGTCAACGCATTACGTGACTGCTTGTCACTTCGGGTGGATAGTATTTCCGAAAAAGGTTAACTTCTACAGTCGGACTAAAATAAAGCCGGCGTTTCGGGAACGATGCTGCACGTCCGGGGCGACCCACTCGCTGATATGGGCATGGGCCTAGCTCCCCTTCCCTGTTGATTCGCCTGACTGCACCGGCTGACACGGATGCCGTGGCTGCACTGGGTGCGGGCAGCCCTTGTGACGGCGCCCCGAATCGGAAGCGGTATCCGCGCCTGATGGCCCGAGCAGGTCGTCGCCGCCCGTACGGTGACAGGCGCCGCTCGTCCTCGGCGGCCAATCAATGTTGCATGGTCCTCAAATCGACCTCCTGCTGACGCAACGGTGCCCAGCTTTCCACCGCGAGCAGCTGACGGCCGCAAACATGTGCCGGGGAAAAACTGATGTTTATATATGCACCAAGACGCGTCAGGTACGTCACCAACGTCCGGCACGTGTCAAAATCTGCATTAGGAAATCCGCATATCCCGCGTACATCCAAAGTTTTCACTGTTGTACGTTCATATAAGCGGGCGTACTTTCACAAAATGAGTTGGGAGGGGGGGGGGGGCGGCTGAACAGTGAAAAATTTCTAAACCAACCCCCCCAACATATGGCAACAAACGGGTTTCCCCCCAGATGAGGCCCAATTTCGTCCCAAAGTTGGGAGTATGTTGGAGCCCATGTCTGGAGGGACCGAAGCCCTCGAACTAAGTGGAGAGCAACATCCCTATATATATATATATATATATATATATATATATATATATATATATAAGAAATGTGCAAGGAATATGCGAGGCACGGTGAAGTGATGTTTCCTCACAATTGCAAAATGCATAACTGCGGTTTTCGTGCCTAGTTTTCCGGTTCGAAGATCCGAGGGTGTTCATGCAACAAGCCCTCATAGGCTCAACGACTGCTCATGATTCCACTAAATTTATCACGTAGTTTATGCAGGAGCTGCAAACCGCGAACAAAGCTGCAATGCACACTGGAACTTAGACCAATTCAGGCCACTGATAGACCAGATGCCAAGCAGTCACATTGGCGCATGCTCGGCTAGCTCGCCGGCAGTTTCGCGGTCATGAAACGGCCAGGCTGGCAGCTCATTTCGGCTGTGGGCGTCATTGAAGCGATAGAGTTTGTAGTGATCACTTTAACAAGTTTAATGGACGCCTGACCGAATGCTTTGCAGAAATAGCTTTGGGATCAAAGTTCTTGCCAACCGGTAGCTTACTGCGATGACCTCTATCCTGACCCCATCACCCGCAGCAGTGCAATCCCAGTCGGTCTGACAGTTTCGACCGAAGGATTTTAACGTGTCAGGTAATGCCATTAAACGGCCGCCCTGTGCCAGCCTAGCCCTGTTACGACCCTTTCAGTGCGCTGTCGCAAGCCAGCTAAGATATACAATATGAACAAGTCGTAAAACAACAGTTAAACGGCAACGACAAAGTAGCGAGAATTAACGAGAAATGAGGGTGCGCCGTCACTGGGATGCGAACCCACATAGGCCACTACCCTGAAGGCCGGGTGTTTCCCGCGCCGTAAACAGCTGAGTTGTGGACACACTGTTGTTTAGCTGGGAAGGTTTAGCCAGCTCCATGTGCGGTTTAGTGAAAGCACGGAATATTTTGCTATTGGTAATACCAGCGACAACAGGATTTAGGCCGTTTGCATGGTCAATGTGCAGCCGACGCATAAAAGCAGGTTCATATGAAGATGCAAATACATGTAGTAACTGGCGACCAGTATGCAAGGAAACGTTACTGCGCAATTTTTAAAGAATGCAAGTGTTAAATTGGCGTAAATTTGTGTGTTTGAAAGCTACGAATGAAGCAAAAATCTTCATACCCACCCACCTACCCATGTGTTTGTTCGATCACAAACTACCTATCCTCATATTCTGATACGACCTCTACTTCTCAACTGTCCATATTGTGATGCTGCTTGAAACGTAGATTTCACTTGTCCATGACTGCTGCCAACTCATTAACAACTCGCGATCAAAATTTCTCCATGTTTCGTAGTTTCCCAGCATGCTCAGCCTTCCTGCTTCGAAGCTCCCGTTGCTATGGATATGCAGGTATCAATGGATTTGAAAAAAAACAAATGCTTCGTGCGTAGGGTCAGAGCAAGAGCTTACAGGTGTTGTTTCTCAGCTTTCAGAATCATGCAGTGCGGTGCGAAAAGCAACGATGGCTTAAAAAAGCTAATCGCGACCATACTTTAACGTCGGGCTGTTTCTGAAAGTTCCTAATTGCAAACGTCCGTAATGGGTGGCGGGCGATTCCTTGTCGGGTCTGCTGGGTGGCAGTTCGCGTGACCACGTGGGCGGACGTCAGCGGGACAGCTGCACTAGGGGGCGGGCCCGGCGTAAAGCGGTGACGGTCACGCTGCTCCAACCCGGCGAAGTTGGTCTGTTGGAGACCCGCCGCCGGCCGCTGGATCTCCGTGTCCGCTTCCAGCTGTTGTGGTCGGAGGCGGTGCCGTGGGCGACGGCAGCGCACCCTGTTGTCGGTGCCATGGAGAGTCGCTGGCGCCCCCTGCCATCGTCGGAGCCGGAAGGATAACACGCGTCGGCGCCGCCGGCTGCCGCTCGATCGATCTGACTGACGCCAGGGCGGCGTGACTATCGCCATCTATGCGCCGAAGCAAGAACCAGTGGTGTGGAGGTGGCGGGACGATCGCCGCTCCTGGGTGGCACCGTTCGAAAGTTCTCAGAGCGTGGCTAGCGTAAGCCGGGCCCCATCTGGCCGTGCCGTGACTGAGAAGGAAAGACGTAGCGTTGCCAGGTAACCGGGCTGTGAAACCGGCGTGTTCAGGACCCTGCCGGTCGATACTGGCGTTTTCGCTCACACTGCCGCGGGGAATGGTAAAACGACTTCGGATTGGTTATATAGAGAAGGACATGCAGTGGCAGATGCGTTTGGACGCACAGTGCCTGCGCATAACATGACCTAAACGTACGAAAAGGGTACATGGTACCCATTCACACACCTATTTTCCACAAATGAGTTCCAGGACAAGGGTGCAAGTTATGAGACAAGCACAATTTAATTTGCAACGTTAACTCCTCCAAAAAAACAGCACTTCATGATATTCCGCACGACTGCAACACGTGCTAAATCAACACACATTACAAAGGCGCCCTGCAGCTAGCAATGCTCGACTTCGGCTGGCGTGTCCCGCAGTCCGTCGGCTTGAGCCAGGTCACGGGTGCGGCTTTACACTGACCGGCTGGCGCCCGGGAGCCATGATCGACTCGGTCCACAGGCCAATATAGCCGGCAATCACCTGCTCGATAAGACCGGTCAATGACCGCTCGAGAAACGCAGCTCGAACTGCCTCATTGCGCCGGGATCGGGACCAGGAGCCGGGAGCCGTTAGCCGGGAGGTACGAGCTGGGAGCTGGGAGCCAGGAGCTAGGAGCTCGGAGCCGAGAGCTGGGAGCCAGGAGCTGGAAGCTGGGGGCTGGGAGCCGGGAGCCGGGAGTTGAGGGCCAAGGTCTGGTGGCTGGGAGCTGGGAGTCGGGAGCTGGGAGCCGGGGGCTGGGAGCCGGGAGCTGGGAGCCGGGAACTGGGAGCTAGGAGCCGGGAGCTGGGAGCCGGGAGCCGGGAGCCGGGAGCCGAGAGTTGAGGGCCGGGGTCTAGTGGCTGGGAGATGGGAGCGGGTGCTGGAAGCCCGGAGCTGTGAGCCGGGAGCCGGCAGCTGGGAGCCGGCAGCTGGGAGCCGGGAACTGGGAGCTGGGAGCTGGGAGCTGGCGGCCGGGAGCTGGGATCAGGGAACTGGCAACCGGGAGCAGGGAGCCGGGAGCCGAAAACCGGAGCCGGGAGTTGAGGGCCGGGGTCTAGTGGCCGGGAGATGGGAGCGGGGGCTGGAAGTCCGGAGCTTTGAGCCGGGAGCTGGGAGCTGGGAGCTAGAAACTGAGAGCTGGAAGCCGGGAATCGAAAGCTGGGAGCAGGGTGCCACAG